CCAATTGGGGAGCAGGTGTTTTTGTCGGGGCGCGGCCTCTAACCGGCTGATAAGGGGTCTATCCCTTCGATGTCGTCCTCCCTTCGCCTTGGCTCTTCTAATATACCAGAAAGCAAATTACAGACATATCTCCCATCGCTTGTTTTTCATCGGCGCATACGCATAAAGACCGACCTAATGGCAAGATCAAGTTTCACAGGCGTATCTCAGCGCGTCCAGACGGAGAAAATCAAGGAACACTTAGGAACCGCAAGCGTGAGCTTCAATATTCTGAACTTCCCATATTCGAAAGTGCTAGACCCGAAGAAAGTCCAGCGATTAACGCGGCTATTCAAAGCCGAGGGCTGCCGACCGGTCGAGTTTGCCAATCGCATACCTGCCCTCGTCCACAAAACTCAGCTCCAGGAGTGCCTGAGCGATTTAGGACTACCAGAGGACCAGTTGCTGTATGATGGCCTCGGGAACCCTTCCAGACTTGAGTTTCCTCACGGGTTCCGCTTAACATGCCTCCGGGGGCGCCACCGAGTCAAGGCGGCCGAAGACGTCCTGCACCCTGCGGATAGGCGGTGGGTTGTCGATCTATACCCTGCAGGTAGGACCTATACACGATAGGCGGGATTGACAGCTAACGGACGAAGAGATAAGCGAGGAGCTAAAGGCCATGCTCATTAGGGGGCATTCGAACGAGTGGAGGCCTAATCACGGCGAGTTTTTCTACAGGATACGTGAGTTTCAGGGAACGTTCGGGGAAAGGAACGACTATCTTGAGCATCGATGGTTCGCCCATCTGGCCTCCGTATCAACAACATTTATCGCGGAGAGCTTCCGCCAACTGATCCATCACCCGACGTTTGGGCCGGCATTTGACGGCTTCCAACATCTTCCGGCCGTGTATGACGGACTACTGCTCGGCATAGTAAAGAAGATGATTGCTATGAAATGTCACGAAGTAGGTGTATCTTTTCCTCCCACGGCCTGCTGCCGCTGATCGATCTGCAGGAGCATATATCCTTCCTTGAGCACGTAAGAGGATTCTTCGAATCCGTATTTGACCGGGATGTCGATAAGATGCAAAAGTTCGACGTACGTACTCTGAAAGAGATTCAATACAAAGCGCCCGGAGCATGCAAATCCGAGGATGAGGAATTGTATGACCGCGTGTGTGATGGCGAGCTCTTCGGTGCTTTTACGGGGCAGGAACGGGATGTGATATGGAGAAGGGTTCGTTCCGCGACCGCGGACTGCGTGGTGCCGTCTCTCTCCGTATTCTTCAAGGCCCGTACCTGGTTAGAAGGCCCGGCGAGATGTCTCCGACGACTCGTGAAGGTTACGAAGGAAGAGACGATCCGCTCTACCATAGAACAGGCCTTCTCGTGTTCGAAAAAACCTCGTGGGTACCGTCTTACCGACGGTCAGTGGTTTGATTTTGTATATAGGACGCTGTGGCTTTATGCGATACGTGGATACCGGGATATGCTGCCCGAGAAGCCCGAGAAGAAGAAAAAGCTAGGCCATGCAAAGAGAAGCGAAGCTGACGGGAACGTCCTCTTCGAATTTGCGTCATTGGCTAACGAGCTCGGGGTCTATACCAAACAGATCGGCGATATACTCGGGCGGGAAAGCTGCCATAATAATATAGAAGATCGCATGCTCGATAACGAGAACACAACGCATCGGGGTGAGGAGGAAAGCCTAGACAGGAACGCGACGGGTCGTAATTCCAGTTCCGGCCCGCCAACCCGGCGTAGGCTATTTCGCGGCTCCAATCGACGTCAAGGTACGTCTTTGATGTTTTTAGCGCAGCTGCATAGTCCGATCGAGGGGCAGGGCGAGTCGCCGTCATCTTTCTTCGTCGAACGGTCCAGCTATTTTGCTTACTTTGGAAGGGAGATTGATATTTCCCTCGAAGACCTAGCCAACCTCGAACGCGATATTATCCACGATAAGAGAAGGCCTTCGAACCACCTCGAAGGGTCCCAGGAATCACGTTGGAGCAGGAAAGAGCTAAGCCGGGCATCCAGCCTCGAGGAGTGCCGCAGCGAACGGCTTCCTAATATCCGACGCGAAATTCTAGACCAAGAGGTACTGCTGCGAGAACAGCAAAGAAAAATCGAGGACCTCCGGGCGGCAGCACGAGATAAAGAGATCGAAGTCGCACAGATAGCGGACGAGGAAAACAGGCTGCGGGCTATGATAGAAGAGCTGAGGGGAGAGAACGAGCTACGAATAAGACAAGGCGGGCTCGGGGCGGTTAGGAAACGGATCGGACCATCTACGAAGGCGGAGGAAGATCTCCGAGCTAGCGTGGAGGAGCTTTCCAAGAAGGAACGGGAGCAACAGGCTAGACTGGAGCAACTCGCCGTGGATGAACTGGACTGGCTAGCGAGGCTGGACGAGCTTCAATCAAGCTACGAGAAGAAGCGGTCGTCACTGGCAGAGCTCGAAGCGAAGGAACGAGGAAAGATTGAGAATTTAGAAATGATTACGGCCAAGGTCCGGGAGTTGACCCGGAAGGAAAACGAACTACTGCTAGGGAGAACCGAGCTCCTAGCAGCCGTAGACCAGAGTGCTCTGGCAGCAGCCCCAATACGAGATAGTGAAACTGCCGCGCCTTCGAATCCTCCTCGGGATGTCCCAAGAAACAAAGCCATGCCACAAGTACGTCTCGCATAGATTCACTAGAGGCCATACTAACCTATAAAATAGCCCGCAGAAGTCGTCATTAAATTCATGGCTCGCAGGAATAACGATTGGATCATATCAGATGAGGTCGCGGCAGATCCGAAGGATCCTTTACATATTCAGCGAATCGCGGTAAAGTATCTACGCAAAGGGATAGGCATTTATGATCATAACCTGCAAGTTCTATATCCAGAAACCTGCTTTAATATGGTAACTTCAGATGGTACAAATACGATTTATCTACAATTGCGTCGGGAGGTTTAGGCGAGCAGGGGTAAGTTTATGGCAGTCGATGCCGGTCACACAACAGGCAAAAGAAACAGAAGAACGAAAGCTAAGCATAATAATATATTGCTTTATTTTGTACTTTTTACATTCTTTTCATTTCATTTTTTATTCTCTTATATTTTTTCAATGAACATATTAATTTCCATACATTCATAACACGCCTGGTCCTCATCGTGGTCTTGCTCGTTCTTTCCTCATCATTCTTTTCTTACTTCATCCGGTCCATAACGTCTGTTCCATCGCGTTTGTTCCCCTTCCTGAACCGGTGATCGTGAGGCCTCCGTTTCTCGGCTGTTAACGTTACTTCGTCGTGATGCCTCCGAGCCACCTGCTTAGCATGGCTTCATCACCAAAACCTACAAATGTCGTGCTACCTAGCGACTGGCACGACAACGAGGTCCGTCAGATGGACGCATATCGTCGGGAATATTTGAACATTCACCGTCAAGGTCTGCTTCTGAATTGGAGTTCCCAAGGGGACCTACCAGGTCCAGCTGCCGGTGAACCTTCATGTTTCGTTGATTCTGAACAAGGTCAAACCTTTGGTTAGTATGAGGACACAACTGTTACAAACATACCAGAGACAACACAAAGAAGTGGGGTAACCGGATACGGAGCATAATTGATCCAGAAACACGTGTGCATGTGATCTCAGAGGATCTGAGATCAACTGAATTACTCGGATCTATGATCCAACAAACATTATCACGACTTAGTAAAAAGATGCAGAAGGAGGAATAACTATATAAATAAGCATCTCCCATGTATCTAGTCGCTCCCTTCATAGCTCTTTAGTTATCAATCTAAGACTATTCTCTCAGCATCGAAAGACATAGTGAGAGGACTCCAAGCCTCTCTGACGAACAGAATCATTTATTACTTGACCTACAACCAGTATTGTTACCTTAAAATCAAGACCCTCGAATCAGCCGATTCAGTAACGTCTATACCAGTCCAAGGTATAGGTTCGTCACATATTAAGGGTCACATTAAGCTTGTTTTAAAAAATGATAAACCCAGTGCATAACTTTAATCCCCACGTCGTAACGTAATTTGGTAACTGCCTATGAAAAATTCAAGTTCAAAAATTAGCGCGAGAACTGAATAATGAAGCAGGTGTGAACCAAACGGCGTAGATATATTCCTTCTCTGTTTGCGCCTTTGGGATTTAGGGGCTTAGGGGCTTAGTGTGTTGTTCAGTGTGTTCGGCGTGTTTAGTTGTGTTTAGCGCGTTGTAGCTCTATTTATACCAACGTACAGTCTTGCCCTACAAGATAACAGGAGACATCGTCCCAAATCACAGATTCCGCCATCAGACATGCGAACTAGATGTTAGTTTCTATATCTGATCCCCCCCTTCCCCGTAAAGACTAGTCGAAGCCTAAAAGTGGTTTCGGGACATGAGATCGCGTAGTTAGAGAAGTGCCCCGACAGAACCCGAAAACGGTGTAGAAGGTGATTCTATTCGTTAAAGAGGCATGGAGTCCCTTTATTAGGTTTCTCATAAATGAGAAAATAATCTTAAATTAATAATCAAATAATAAATGATGAAATATATAAGAAATGTTTATAATAGTGTGACGAACCTATGCCTCAAAGAGGTCGTTGCTGGATTGACTAATCCGGGGTGTCTTGATTTGAAGGTAACAGTATCAATAGTAGGTCAAGTGATTAAGTATGTTCTGTTCGTCAGAGAGGCTTCGAGTCCTCTCACTATACTCGAAAGAATAGTCTTAGATTGATAACTGAAGAGCTATGGAAAGAGTGACTAGATACATAGGAGATTCTTGGTAGTTTATATAGATGTCCTTCCTTCCCTCCTTCGTACTGGATGTGTTGCTGGTCAACACATCCAAGTATCCGAAGTTGTGCCGTCATTGGTTGTCTTGGACCCCACTCATCCTTCAGAAGCGGGCGTGGGTTCTTGGGTTGTGACAATATATAATAAAAATTAATATAATAATATATAATATATAAAAATAATAAAAAATAATATTTATAAATAAAAAAACTTAATTAAGATAAAGAAAATCATTTTCATTAAGAAAATAGTCGATTGGTATTGTAACAATACTTATAGCTATAATGGTTTTCTGAATGAAAACCATTTTCTTAGGCCATATATTCTATTCCCGCTATGGTAAGATGCTTCCAAATTTTCAGATATATTATAACTGATATTGGTTTGGTCACCATCTGAGTTATACTATAACAAATTGGTAAGCTTAGGGGAATAACAGAGGGGAGTTTAGACCTATCCAAGATTAGTATAGGATTCATCTTTCTGAGTATGGCATGAATAAGCGCGTGTCATGAATGAATATGTGGACAAGCTAAATCTAAGCAGTGCTGCTCAATTCCGGTGGTATGTAAGAGACCTTCAGATTTGTGATATTAAAACCAAGGAATTGAACCGAATTCATTCATGGCTTAATCATCAGATGCGCAACACATTGTATGTACCAAGTTAAACCTGTTATGTATGAACATCAGATCGTTCTAGCCTCCGCGCTGTCATCCCTTCGTAAGCTATCCCTTTCCCAAGCCACCCTTACGATAACATTTACTGGCCCTTCACTTTAGCCTCCCTTCCACCCTAAGGACCTAGAACGGCTTTCGTACAAATGAACGCGCCGAATAACCGAGAGGTACCGTTTATCCACCGAATCAAAGCAATAGATCCTCCGCTCATCTCGTCGTAATCCTTCCACGTCACCCGTAGTTTCATCCTTATTTTCTCTTCGTTGGCTTGGTCGAGTAATCGACCGGTGGCGGTACGCTACTAGCAAGGCGGGCTAGGTTCTTACATGCGGGAACTCTAGCCGAGCGGGATACGTGGTCGCCCGGCAATTCCGCACGGCCGGTGGGCGAGCTCTGTCCGGAAAGCTCCGGCAACTGAGTATGCTCAAGCTTTGTAGCATGGGATGGTGTCCCATCCATCTCATACGCATTAATACGCGTGCTGCTTTCTTTGTGTGGCCTATGTTCTCCGTAGTAGTTGATTTGAATTAAGGGATGCGGGCTCGGCATCTCCCTAAAAAGCAATTTTAACGTTCTGCATCCTTTTCTCGAGCATATCAATTGATCTGCGATGTCGTTGGTCCCATTGCGGAGCCTTCGTAATGACCGATGATGCCCGCAGAGTACGCAGAAGAGAGGTTGCGTGCATGGTGGCGGAGGAGACGCCGGGTTGTTGGCGTGCTTTTCATGATGGTGTGACATTCCGAGTTTGTTATTGGATGTATATACTCCATATATATATACTCTGTTACTAGAAGCGTTACGGATAGATACTGTATATAGGTATGACGGAGATGCAAGTAAATATACTATACGATGTGAGAAGTAATAATGCTTTAATAGTGGATAAGGAGATCTAGCGGAAGGCCCCAATCAATTTTAATATAGACCCGCGACTTATTCCTAAGCCATGGCCACGAAAGGGTCTCTTTCAAAATAGCAGGACAGCCAAAGTTGGTCCACATTACGGAATAGAATGTAGTACATGGCTCATATGAATTGGCTTAATAGGTATCAGCAGAATATTGAGACACAGGTCGAAGGAACATAACCATTAAACTATCCATAGTAGAAACCAACTTTAAGGCTTGCTTACAACCTGTTATTGACTAATATAGAAGAGCCCTAAAGGAGGCCCAAATGGGATAAGTTTAAGAAAATATGGCCAGAATAACGGGAGAAGGGGGTGTGTCGGGATACCTTAAAGAATGCTCACTATCTCTATTTACATCTACTATTCCAAGATACCTATACCTAGGTATATCTGAGGAAGAAAAGGAAACTATGAGACTTTATTATTTCTTCGTATATAGTTATTCTTTCCATCCTCTAGCTACCAATTTTGGGGTTAGGTTAGGGTTAGGGTTAATTTCTTATGCATTTTTGAATTGACGGGTCGGCGATTTTTTGGCACCAAGGTACGCGTAGAGCGGAACAGACAGCGGGGTGTGTCCGTTCTACGGGTCCTGTTTTTTAAGCAGTAGCAGTGGTTTTCCGGGTTGTAGGTTTGCCCCTCTTTTCCTTTCTTCTTGTTGTAGAAGCTGTTCCCAAACCCCAAATTCCCCCTTAAGCTCCGGGCCCAGCTCATCCCGTGTGACCCAGGTAGGCTCCCAGTCCACAATCCAAACATCAAAACCATCTGCCGTACACTCAGGAATGGCCGTACACCTATAAGCAGCCCACCGCGATATTTCGGAAGCAGACATCTTAGACTTCGACCATCGAAGCAAGAGCTCTACCTCGCTATATTCGTTCCGTCGGGCGCCGAGGACCTCGTCAACGGAGAAGGTCTCTTGTTCATTGAGGTAAGTAGCATCGTCTTGGTTTTTAGTCGACATATGTATCGATATGCTAGGATTTATGCTCCGATGTTGTAGCGATATAACAATGATCAGCTACGCTACAATGGTTTTTGTTTTTTTGTAATTGGTAGGAAGGGAAGATTTGTGTTATGTTACAGGAGTATAAGAGTATAGGAATGCAATAGATTTAGACAATGCATGCAGACGTATAGTAATATATTTTATAAACCAAACCTCGGCTTGCCCACCATCCACCTTTTC